AAAAAAAAAAAAAAAGAAAAAAAGAAAAATAAAAAACCCCATCAACCTAAAAAAAAAGATCCAGTGAAATTATCCTTTAGGAGTGAAAAAAAAAAAAAGGCTTTCCCAGAAAAACAAAAATGGGAGAAATAAAAAAAAAAAAAAAACGCCCTACAAAAACAAAAAAGCATTAAAAAAAATAAAAAAAGCCAGGCACAGTGACTCACACCTGTAAAAAAAACAAAAAAAGAGGCCAAGGTGGGTGGATCACCTGAAAAAAAAAAAAAAAAACCAGCCTGACCAACATGGCGAAACAAAAAAAACAAAAAAAATATAAAACGTAGCTGGGTGTGGTGAAAAAAAACAAAAAAACCAGCTACTTGGGAGGCTGAGGCAGAAAAAAAACAAAAAAACAGGAGCAGAGGTTGCAGTGAGCTGAAAAAAAACAAAAAAAGGCCACAGAGCGAGACTCGGTCTCAAAAAAAAAAAAAAAAAAGAATTTTCTGAAATTCATGACAGAAAAAAAAAAAAAAAAACAGGAATCTAAGAGGCATGAAGCAGAAAAAAAACAAAAAAATCGATAGCGAGGCATATCCTATGCAAAAAAAAAAAAAAAAAAGATGAAGGAAAACCTTAAGAGAAGAAAAAAAAGAAAAAAATACCTTACCTATGGAAGAACAAGGAAAAAAAAAAAAAAAAACATTATTAGAGACCAGGCAAGCAGGAAAAAAAAGAAAAAAAACGCCTGTAATCCCAGAACTTTGGGAAAAAAAAGAAAAAAAATCACCTGAGGTCAAGAGGTCAAGAAAAAAAAAGAAAAAAATGTGAAAGCCCCGCTCTACAAAAATAAAAAAAATAAAAAAAGCATGGTGGTGGGCACCTCTAACCCAAAAAAAATAAAAAAATAAAGCAGGAAAATTGCTTGAACCTAAAAAAAAGAAAAAAAAGTGAGCCGGGATCTCACCATTGCTAAAAAAAATAAAAAAAAGAACAAAAGGGACCGAGTCTATCTACTAGAATAGTCATAAGATCCATGGAGGTCTCTGTTTACGTAGCTTCATGGCTTTGGTGTGTCGGCCCCTGTAGTCCAGCTACATTGTGTGAGGTGGCTCGAGGCTAGGTTGAGAATGGCTGGACTCCAGGAGGTCGGTCGGCGTGTTTCGTCAGTGTGCGCAAGGGATCGCCGCCACTGCACCTCTGTGTGTGTGGGAGCGCAGTGTCGCCCTTCCCGTCTCAGTGTAGGTAAAATCAAACTGCTCAACAGTGAAAGGTGTCGTCTCTCTCATACCCAGGCTGGAGTGCGCTTAACTGTTCGGGCTGCTGATCTGTCCCTCACTGGGCACCTCTGTCTTGGACGGCGGCTCTCGCCCACTCTCTCTGGCCTCCCATGACCTCCACCTACGGTGTGTGTCCGCAGTGGGGAGGATTACTGACCGAGTGCGCTCGCCCGAGCTGCGGAGCTCTATCACCCCCGCTCGAAGTGTGTTCTCCTTAGTATTTTGTTAGTTGTAAGGTCCGTTGTGCCATGTGATTCTCGCCTACTATTGTCATTGTCGGGAGTCTGCGGTACTGTTGAAGAATTCGATTGACTCAGCGATGTGATGCAGCTCCACCACTTTTGGCCTGCCCAAAGTGGTTGACAGGGGTGTGTACAGTGTGGTCGCTTCCTGATAGGCTGGCAACAGCTCTGATGGTCTTCTGATTTCAATATGCCTTGTTGTTTGGCTTTTGTGCAAATGGGGAATGCGGATCTGCGTGCGTGTGCGATTGGACTTTGGCGCTCCCTATTTTTGTTTCTGGGTGTAGATGTTTGGTCCTTATCAGTTTCTGTTCAGCTCCTTTAACGTAAATGGTGATAAATATTACATCTGGGGACGCTCTAGACTTCTGATAGGGTCTGACTGGATGAGTAAAGGGTTTTCTAGTTCTTTGCTGTTTTGTTCTTGTATTTCTTGTTTTTCTATGTTTGGATGGGAGTCTTGCTCTGTCACCAGGCTGGAGTGCGCCTCGCGCTAACGATCTCGGCTCCTGCAACTCCGTTCCTCCTGTTGCCCTGCATTTACTGTTGTGGTGAAAAAGTACTTTGCGTGCACTGCGCTCTTTAGATGTCGCGTTGCCTCCCGAGTTACGCTGTACTACTACGCGTGCTCTGCACGCTGCGCACCCGGCGAGTTTTTGGTATTTTGTTGTAAGAGACGGTTCACCGGTCGTAGCAGGATTGGTCTTCGATCCTCCTGAGTCTCCTCGTGTACATGCCGGCGCCAGTCTCGATGGCGTTCCCGATCCAATGGGTGGGTTACATGTGCTTGAAGCCACTGCTGGCCCGCGCCCTTTATGTTTTTTCTCTCTCTCATGTAAACACTTTAATTATGTCACGGCTCTTCTCTTGGTGTGGCCTGGGTTCTTTTCTTTCGATCCTCGATCGCTGCGCTCTCTCGCTCTTACGTAGTTTCTCTCTTATCTCTTGTTCTTTTTCTTTTGTTTCTGGGGCCCAGTAGCGTGGGGAGCGAGCAGATTGGGTGTGGAGGACATCACGCCGTCCACTGGTTAACTGATTCGCCGCGTCGGCCTTCCGGCGGTTCAGCAGCAAGGTTATATGCGCATAGGTTGCCGTTTCAAGCTAGCTGGGCGGTTAGAGGTGCCCCAACCATGCCTGGCTAATTTTTTGATTTTTGGTAGAGCGGGCTTTCCAGTTGGTCCATGCTGTAGCGTTAGATCCCTCTCTGAGCCGCAGGTCAGGATGCCACGTCTTCGCCTCAGTCGTCCCCATATGGGTTCGGTGTGGAACATTACGAGGCAGGATCCTGCTGGCCGCTCCCTAATTTTTTTTTGTGTCTGTTCTGGTAAGAGCCGGGCTGCTTGCCTTTTGGGTGCTCTAGATGATGTCTTGTGTGATATGTTATTCTCTGCCTTGTTCTTTCCGATCTACCGTCGATACTGGTTGGTTTTTTGTCCCGGTTGGGCTAATGCGGTCTCTAAGGTTGTGCTCTCTTTCGTTGTGGTTTTGTCGTGTATGTCTTGCAAGGGTAGATATGCGTGTCGCTATATCGATTTTTTTTGGTATTTTCCGTGCGTTCATGCCCTTAGATTCCTGGATCTGTTGTTTTGTATCTGTCATGAATTTCGATGTAAAATTTAGCTTTTTTTTTTTTTGGGGATGCGTTCCGGTCATGCTCATGTGCCCCTCGCCAAATGCCTCGCAGCCTGCAGGGCTCTATGTGATAGTGTGATCTCAGGCTCACTGCAACCTCGCTGGTTCACTTGACGCCGGTCTCCTCACAGCAAAAAAACAACAACAAGCCAAAAAAGACCTTCATATAAGTTGTGTGATTTGTTTGTTAGGTCGGTGATTTCCTGCCTCAGCCT